CAAGTCAGACATTTCAAAGCTTTTTACATACTTCTTGCACTAACCCCACAACACCTGTAATAGGGCATGCTGAGACTAAGCATGGCACCCACAAGTTGACATTGGACTACAGAATATTGTATGTTTATATCAAAGTGCATTTCACAAATCTTAGGTTCCCGCACAATGTGTAAACCTCTTACCTGCCCCAAATTTGTCTCCATCAATCTTGAAAACCTGGATCTGAACATTAAATACATTGACAAGGGCATTGTCCGTGACCTGGAGATTCTCCTCTGCATTGCACTTGTAGGAGTTCCCTACTGTAGCTCTCAGCTCACTCATGCTGTTGTTTGATGCTTCAAACTTTGGAACTGTGTAAGAGAAAGTCTTATGACAGAGCCCTGAAGAACAGGAGCTGTAAGCTCTTAGAGCTTAAGTTCAATGCATTCATCCCCAACATTTCTAACACGTTTTTTAATGCAAGGCAACCCTTAATATTTACAGTAGTAGTTACTGAAAGCAGACTTCTTAAAAGTCCCTACCTTTTGCTTCAGAAGGCAGAGTCGTGCTTACATTCACACCTTGCAGGAAGAATTTTTCAGTACTTGCATTCTTTAAAAAAACAAAAACAAAGCAACAAACGAGTAGTTATTTAAGCTAAAGATGCACAACATAAGCTGTTAACATTCCAGTTCACTTCTGCATGCATTTTGAGGAATGTTTTCAAAGGCTAGTCCACAATTGGGATCAGCATCCAAAGGAAGAGCTTAGTTGCACTTTTAGAGAGAAAAGTTACAGAAGGTATGCACCTTAGGGAAAGTTACTTTGGGGGAGGGTAGGGAGGCAGAGAAAGGGGGACTGGTGCCCCTGAGGCTGCTGACTTGACCTCCACACTAAGGGCATAGTCCCAGCCATGCCTTAACCAGGCTAGTACAATGATCTCACCTCTGCTGCAGATAGATACAGCTTTAAAGCAGCTCAGTACCCCATGGAGACAAGGAGAGTCATTTAACAGTGATCCCATTTGATCAATCCCATGAGTATTAAAAGCAGCATGAAGCTGACAAACACAGTGGATTCAGTCCCCAAGGGTACACAGCTCTCATACACCACAGGGGCAGGGCTGCGGGAAACAGGATTTCCAATCATCATAGGAGTCCATAAAACAAGCACACGTGGCTCTTGGCCTGTACACGGAATAATAATGAGGACTTAAATCCAGCTCCAGACTCGTATGATTATTAGATGGGATGCCTGTTTGTCACAGGCAGTTCCTCTGCTACAGCAGAACTGTCTCCAGTTTGGGTAAGAAACTTGAGAGCGTAGGCAATACAATCTTAAAAGAAAGTCCCATTCCAAACAAAACAGATGTCTCTCTAGACATACATGTGTGTCCACATGTGTATGTATTCTCTCCTCACAACAATTACCAAATATTAAACCCTCTAGTATTAAAAACAAAGCAATTAACTTACTCCCCTTCCTGTAGCTGCATCTTTTCTCTTGTACTTGCCCCTATTAGTTTTCCCACACAAGAAGTCCCACAGACCCTGCATGCTCTGTCTAAAGACTCTTACCAATGCAAAATGGAAGATAACCCTTGTTCTCTCAAAAGTCAGATTCAAGAAGGCAGACGTATTGTCGCATGTCCCAGAAGGAGTTGTATTATGTGGTATGAAATTCAGCAAATCCAATCCCATCTATGAGAGAAGAGGATCTAGTTAAGACATCTGAAGGACTAACACATGGCCATACAGTTAGTTGACTTCTAGCTCACTCATACTCACGTGCATACAATGCTGTGTTTGCCCACACACTTCACAGACAACTGGGCAGATCCATGTGCCAGATACAGGCTGGTGTAAGCTGCACCTGAGTTAGCAGGCTGGTACAGAGAACTAAGGGCTCCCTTGCATGCCTAACGAAGCTTTCTGCAGCCCTGACTGCCTGCAGCCAGTCATCTGCTTTCTTCTCACTAACTTATTCAGTCCTAGCAGCGTAAGGACAAACATCAGCAACCACTACTACACAGGGGGCAACAAGCTGTAAAATACTGCTTTGATATTGTCAAGGGAACTGCCTGTAAGCATGATCATCTTGCATGTCGCTTCAGTTCAAAATGCTTTCGCTTTGCCCTGCCCATGGTACATGATTTTATACTGTCCCAGAGCTGCAGAAGGCTGTGGGTTAAATGCACTTGCCAAACAATCCAATAGAAACCTCCAGTAGCATTTAGTTGACCCTCATGTCACTTTGGAAAACCTGTTTGCCACCTCCTCACTGGTCATTACACTAGAAATCAGCTCTTCCAGCAGAGTTAGAATGCCATGCTACAGGACAGAGCTTAGGGAATCCCACGCAATTAAGGTGGCTAAAACAGTGCATCATAACCAGCTGTTGTACAGCCACACACCAGCTATCAGGGCTCATGATTTTTACCTCTCAGTCAT